CCCCCTACCGCATCCCAAAACCAGTCCAGCTCGTCCCTGCCTCCCTAACCTGTTCTTCCTCCCACCTCAAGCCGCACCTCCATCTCCTACCGACCAACCTCATCCCGCCCCCTTGACCTGTCCGTCCTCCCTGGACTGACCTATCCCCTTCCTAACTCCCTACCTACACTCACCTTTACTGGCTCCATCCCCGCCTCTTCGACCTGTTTGTTTCCTCTCCACCTATCCTCTCCTCTATCCCTCTTCTATCCGCCTCCCACTCTCTCCCTATTTATTTCGGAACCCCCTTCCCCTCCCCCTTTTCTGATGAAGGGTCTAGGCCCGAAACGTCAGCCTCTCTGCTCCTATGATGCTGCTTGGCCTGCTGTGTGCATCCAGCCCTGCACCTTGTTGTCTCGGATTCTCCAGCATCTGCAGTTCCTACTATCTCAGTATAATGGTTTGTCCAAAAAATGACAACTTTGACGTGTAGTATTTCCTCAGTACTCCACTGGGAGCGTCAACTTGGAATGAATGGACAACCTTTGGACTCTCAGAGCTGACAAGAAACTCTGCTACTACCTATGCAAATACCATCCCACCCACTTTTTCCCACTGCATAGCAAATGAGTATGTCGTCTAGCTGGATTTTCTCTCCTCCAATCCAATAACAAGCATCCTAAAATGCTTTGAAAGCAATATTATTTTAAAACAGTTGTCACAACCAGGAAGGACATACAAGCAAGATAAAAAGGCATTAATTTCACACCTTTCATGACCTCTAAATCCTTCAAAGAGCTTCACAGTTAGAGTGCAGTCACTACTGTAATTTGGGACAAGCAATAACACCAGCAAGAAAGGTGGTCAGACATGGGATTCAAAAACATTTTTTAGGGGAAGATAGAGAGGTTTAAAAACAAAAGTCCTCAGGGTAAGGCCAAGACAATGGAAGTGTATACAGTGAAGGATAAGAAAACCTGTGTGTGTGCCTCATACATAGGAGATGTGGTGTATGCACAAAGCAGAGATTTTTCGGAGTCTCTGCTGCTCCATGATTAAAATCTGCTAAGTCAATACAGACTTTTTGGTTAAGGTTTCTGAATACTATACCAGGGAGAACCTTTGTTCACCCAGTCACCAATGGAATACTTCTCAGATGGTCACTTAAACCCTCTACACAGAACCTCAACTCAATTATGTTTTAATTATTTCAGCGGTTGTGGGCTTCACTGGCTGGGTAAGCATTTATAGCACAGCACTAATTCCTATTGAGAAGGTGGTGGTGAGTTCCTTCTTGAACTGCTGCAGCTCATTTGGTAGAGGGACAACCACAGTGATATTAGGGAAGGAATTCTAGGAGTTTGACTCATAATAGTGAAAGCACGCATATATGGGAGGCGATGCCCATTGGTATTATCACTGGACTGTTAATCCACAGACCAGATAATGTTCTGGGGACCAGGGTTTGAATCCCGCCTCAGCAGATGGTGGAATCTGATTTCAATAAATATCGGGAATTAAGAATCTAATGTTGACCACGAATCCATTGCCAATTGTTGGAAAAACCCATCTGGTTCACTAATACCCTTTAGGGAAGGAAACTGCCATCCTTACCTAGTCTGGGCTAAATATGACTCCAGACCCACAGCAACATGGTTGACTCTCAACTGCCCTCTGGGCAATTAGGGATGGACAATAAATGCTGCCTAGCCAGCAACACCCTCATCCCGTGAATGAATAAAGGAAAAAAAAATACATTCTTTACATTGCCCTTGGCTGATAACCACAAATTTATCATCAGACATAATTTGCCTCTTACAGTTTTAGTTCAAGCAACAAAGGCAGTCTTGCCCACCAAGAAGTGACTGCACAATTATTTAGTACAACAGATTAATATTCACCTTGCATACTGACATAAACAATTATGGAAAGAACTAAGATAATCGCAGCTAAAATAACAATCAAGACCACAAGATAGCTGGGAAGGAACCCTCCTCCTTTACAGTCGAACTGTCCTCTATGAGTCAAGTACAAAGCAAGGATTCCGATCCACCTGCAAAATAAAAAGGCATAAGAAATTGGTCAGCTTTCCAACACGTCTGTGCAATAGACACACCCCGAGTCAGTATCATTAGACATGCTTAAACTGGCCCATTGCAATAAAATGTGAGTAAAATTATAATTTTGCAGTGCAGTGTAACAGTCCCTCCCTCTGAACTACACCATTTAGCTTTGAGTCCCACCTGTCCCAAAGATAAGTCGTAACATGTCTGAACATGTGATTAAAAATAGTTATCATTCAACAGGGATATTTCCCCATTGAAGTTACATATCAAATGAACCAAATAATCATTGGAAATCAGAGACCATTGCAAAGTTTTTGGGGGGTGGGGGAAGAGAGGTGTGGGGGAGAAGAGGAAGAGAGCAAGCAAGAGAGTGAGAGCGAAGACCCAGAGTGATAAGTAAACCAATGAGGCCACAACTACTTACAACACATGACTTCGATGACGGAAGTGAATGTATTATTGCATAACACAAAAATAGAAGGCAAAGCAACATGTCAGGATGACATAAAGGATCTACATAGGGTTAGAGACAGGTTTGGTGAGTTGGTCAAACTTGGCATATGGAAAATAATGTGAAAAACTGAGTTACGCACTTTGGCAGAAAGAATAGATAGGCTGAGTATTATTTAAATAGGGAAATACTGCTGAAAGCTGCAGCACAGAGGAACTTGGAGGTCCTCATACATGAATCTCTAAAGCTAGCATACAAGTTCAGCAGGTAAAAGGGATGGCAAATAGAATATTGACCTTTATTTCAAAGGGAATGGAGCATAAATATAGTGAGACCTTACTAAAATGATACAAAGCACTAGTCAGCTGGAATACTGTGAAGAGCTTTGGTTCCCTTATCTAAGAAGTGGGATACTGACACTGGGGGCAGACCAAAGAGGTTCACTAGGTTAATTCCAGGTATGGAGGGATTTGCTAATGAGAAGTTGGTAGGTTGGGTCTGCACCGATTGGAATTTAGAAGAATAAGAGGAGACTTTATTTAAACATACAAGATTCACAGGGGGCTTGACAGGATAGACACAAAGAGGTTGTTTCCCTGTTATGGGACAGTCTAGGTCTAGAGGGCATAATCTTAGCATAGGTGCTCACCAATTTAAAACAGAGATGAGAAGGAATTTCTTGTAAGGTTATTGAATCTGTAGAATTCTTTACAATAGAGGGTTGTAGAAGATGGGTTGATAAGTATATTCAAGGCTGAGATACAAGCTTTTTAATCAGTTAGGAAATCAAAGGTTAAGGAGATAAGGCAGGAAAGTGGAGTTGAAAATTCCAATCAGCTATGATCTCACTGAATGGCACAGCATACTCTATGGGCCAAATGGCCAACTTCTGCTCCTATGTCTTACAGTTCAAATTGTTATTGTTTTGCAGATTATAACCAATTTTATTTGATGACAGTTCTGTTATTGAAGTTTCATTATTCAAAGATACTTCTTTCAATCCCAGAGGAGCCAACACTGAAGACTCTTCTATGAATGCACAATTTATATATTGTTTACTAAGACAGAGATTTCAGTTATCACCGTTAATGCAAAATTAATAGTTGCATTTATGGAGCAATTTTATTGTCCTCAGGATATCCCAACATACATGCAGCAAATTGACTACATTTCAAAGAAAGCGCTTGATGTTACAATATGGGAAATTTGACACCAATTTCCATAAAGCAAGAGAGATTTTCCCCTCTCAGAGGGGTCACATGTCCACGGAACTTTTTCTCAACAGGTCATGCAAGCAGAGTCCTTGAATATTTTTAAGGCAGTGGTAGATAGATTCTTAATAAACAAGGGGTGAAAGCTTATTGGGGTAGGCAGGAATGTGGAGTGATCAAATCAGCCATGATCTTACTCAATGTTGAAGCAAACTTGATAATCCAAGTGGCCTATTCCTGCTTCTAATTCATACGTTCACATGACCTTTCAATGCATTGTCTAAAGCATGCACCCTACAACAAAGTAGAATATGCTGTAAATGCCAGTTCAGGTACAAAAATCCACATTTTCTACATTCACAGAAACTAAACTAGTTGATTTCTTATTGTTAACTGATTCACAATGCTAACAACCTGTCACAAGACCCAAGGGATCAGGGGTCTTTGTATGATTCACAGGTAATTCAGAACTTGGTCCTACACTGTTGACAAAAAGGCTTTATAACATTTCAACAGCAGGAGCAACTTACTGCAGATGCTGAATCTGTACTGAAAACAAAGAGCCCTGATGAAGAGTCATCTTGACTCAAAACGTTAGCTTGCTCTCTCTCCATAGATGCTGTCTAACCCATTGTGAGCCGAACATTTGTTGTTTTCTTTTATAACATTTCAGACCTGACTTGTATATCAAAGTCAGGTGGCAAGTTAGTTCTTCTCAACTGGATGTGGAATTTGAGCATTAATCATGCATGCAACAAAACGGAAGATTGCAGATAAAGCTCGAGACACACCTAGTGCAAGATCATTCTGAGAAAAAGCCAGCATTTTCTTAAAAAAAAAGACATTTGCCACAAATTGTGTTTCCAATTTTTAAAGGAATTTTGCTACATTAGCATCTACAAAAAGTTACTTTTTATCTATCATACGGGCTTGCAATTTTTCATCTGAAATTAAAAACTCAGATTTGAGTAAGAAATTGCCAAACTGTAGTTCATGAAACCCAGTTACGTCTGGTTTCCCATGCATCCTCCACTTGCACCTACTCACCACAAAACCCGCAGCAGCAGCTCAAAGGCCCTGGAAAACACCAGATCATCGCTAGCCAGGGACCAGCGCCATTAGTACCCTAAGTCCCACGGTCTGGAATTCGCTCCCTAAATCCCTACACTGTTTTACCTCTTCCGCCGTCTTTAAAACATCCTTCAAATCTTTCCTTTTCGACAAAGCTTTAGCTCACACGTTCCAATCTTTCTAATACATTTTGCTTTACAACTCTGCTGTAATACACTTTGAGACATTTAAAGGCACTAGATAAACGCAAGTTACTGTGTTGCCGCTCATCCGCTAGATGCATTATGAGTTATGATGGTTTTCAATTGAGTTGGTTCCTTGCTGGAAACTATCAAACCTTCATAACACTCCCGGATTGGGTAATAAATGTTGCCCCACACTGCAATACTACAAACTCAAAAAGGGTGGCCCTGCCAGTAAATTCCGTTGAGATCTTCATTCTCTGAAGACTGAGCGATCTCAGGTCACATTTTAACCGAAATAAAAAGGTAGAAGTAGCCTTCAAAGACCGTTTAAAAAAAAACTGCAGAGGCCGGAATCCAAGGTAGACAGGCAGGAGGCTGGAGGAATACAGCAAGCCAGGCAGCATCTGGAGGAAAGGAGAAGTCGACGTTTCGGTTATTACCCTGCTTCAATACCTGAAACGCTGACTGCTGTATTCCTCCAGCCTCCTGCCTGTCTACCTAGAAATGGTCTTCAGGCTGGATGTGAAGGAGTCGCCGTGCCAAGGGATAGGGGTCCCGGGGGACTCTACTCACCACAAAACCCGCAGGAGCAGCTCGAAGGCCCCGGGAAACACCAGATCGTCGCTCGCCAGGGACCAGCGCCTCCCGAATACCACCAACCCCGGCATCTTTCTCCGGCCGGCTGGCTGCCTCCCTCTCCCCCGCCTTCAGGCCACCCAGCCACTGACAGTCTCCGGAGGCGGAGCCCGAGCCGGGAGACAAGGACCAGGCGCTGCCATTAGCGTTTTAGCCGAGCAAAGACCCACCCTCAACAAAACCCCTCCTGCAAACAACACGCTGCTCAAAGGTTCCGCCTTCAATACTTAGTCCTCCCCCTCGTTTCAGCAGAATGATGTCACCTTTCACCTCATATTAAAAATAACAGTATCAAAGCAACAAACAAAAACTTGGAAGGATTTTTAAAAAATGTTCCATTCTTCATTCCATTCTCAGCTATTTAACCATAGCCAGAGAATCTTGGTTCTTCTTCCTAGTCCAACAAATTCACAGGTCAAACCCATCACCCGCCCAGATCTCTCCATACTCCTTCTCCTACTGTGTTCTCACCTACATGCTGCCTTTCTGCCCATCATCTGTAGGCTAATAACATTCAAACCTCAACTTGTCCAACTGTTCTCAAACATTAAATCAGATTGCACATATCCAACATCCAAAACTGGATGAGCAGAAATTTCTGCCAATTAAATATTGTCAAGTCTGAAGCTACTATTTTTTTAATTTTCACTCCAAATGGTGTACCATAACTACAGGCTGCATCCCTCTGCTAAAGAAGTCACACTAGACTCAAAACATTAACTCTTGTTCCTCTCTCCACAGATGCTGCCAAATTGTTCCAGCATTTTCGGTGTTTTATCAAATGGTTCTATCCCTCGCTGTGGTAACTGTCTGACCCCAGACCAGACTGTCATAAATTTGGTGTCATGGTTCATTGAAAATGTCTTTTCAACCACACATCCACATCATCACTGCCTTCATTACCTCCACATTTGATTATTCCCACACTTTACTCTTTGTAAGCTTGAGATCAACCAAAAAGTCTGTAACCTAACTCACACCGTGTTCCTTTCAAATATTGTACTGTGCTCATTGACCTACATTTGCTGCCAGTTACAGGACATCTTGATTTTAAAATTCTCGCCCCTGTTTACCAATCCTTCCATGTCTGTGACCTTCATCTCTCCAGCTCACAACACTCTGAGATATCTGTGTTCATCTTATTTTTGGGCTCTTGCATATCCTAATTTTAATCACTCCACCTTTGGAAGCTGTGTCCTCATTAGCTTCATTCTGAACTATTGGAATTCTTTCCATTTACCTTGCTGCCTCTTTATATTTCTTCATGTTGCTCAATGATATCTTTCGTTTATATTTTTCTGCCAAGTGATGGGATTACAGTTACAGGGATAGAGTGAAGAAGTTAGAACTGTTCACCTTGGGGAACTTAATTAATGATTAGATGATGAGACTAAATGTAATGTCTCTAAGTTTCCAGATGACAAAAAGCTGGGTGGGAGGGTGAACTGTGAGGAGGATGCAGAGATGCTTCAGTGCGATTTGGACAGGTTGAGTGAGTAGGCAAATGCACGGCAATTGGAGTAAAGTGTGGATAAATGTGAGTTTATCAACTTTGGTAACAAAAACAGGAAGGTGGATTATTATCTGAATGTACTGAGACCTCAGTGTCCTTGTATACCAGTCGCTGAAAGTAGGCATGAAGTGCAGAGATGGTGAGGAAAGTAAATGGTATGTTGGCCTTCATAGCAAGATGATTCGAGTACAAGAGCAGGATGACTTGTTGCAATTGTATAGGGCCTAGATGAGGCCAAAACCTGGAGTATTGGGTGAAATTTTGCTCTCCTTACCTGAGGAAGGATGTTCTGCCTATGGAGAGAATGCAACAAAGGTTTATCAGACTGATTCCTGGGATGGCATGACTGAAGTATGAAGAGAGGCTGGGTAGGTTAGGGCTGTATTCACTGCAGTTTAGAAAAAGTGAAGGAAGATTTCATTGAAACCTTTAAAATTCCAAAAGACCTAGATGGGGTAAATGCAGGAAAGATGTTGCTGCTGACCACTGAACCTAGAACCTGCAGTCACAGTCTAAGGATACAGGATAAGCCAATTAGGACTGAAATAAGGAGAAATTTCTTCACCCAGAGTGTGGTAGGACTGCGGAATTCTCTTCCATTGGTGCGGTTGAGGCCAAAATACTGAAGGTTTTTAAGAAGAAATTAGACATAGTTATTAGGGCTAAAAGGATCAAACGATTGGGGATAAAGTGGGATCAGGGACAAAGTTGGATGATCAGACCTGATCATATTGAATAGTCAAGCAGGGTTGAAGGGCTAAATGGCCTATTTCTGCTGTGTTTCTATGTTTCCATAAAAGAAGAAAGCTAAGATAGAGGTTGCCATAATCATGACTGGGCTGGGTACAGTAGATAGGGAGAAAGTGTTCCCATTTGCAAAAGGAACAGGAAAGAGCAAAATGAGGAAAAACGTTTTCACACAGTGAATAGTTAGGGTATGGAATGCACTGCCTAGAGTTGTTGTGGAGGCAGGTTCAATTGAGGCATTCAAGAGAACATTGGATGATTATGTGATTAAAAATAACAAGCAAGGTTTTGGGGAAAAAGAAGCAGGAGATTGGCATGTAGTAATGGGGCTCATTTAATGAGCTAGTGCAGGCATGATGGTCCAAAAGGCCTTTTTTGCATCATTGCAATGACTTAAGTTTTCAAACTTGTAACCAAACATTTAATGGTATGATAAATTGATGTGAATACATTGTCATTTTGATGATATGTTTACATCTTCTGAATGCCATCAAGACATTTATTACAATAGTTATTTTAAGACTGAGAAAATATATTTGGATTAATACACCCTTAAAACATTAGTAAGTAACTCAGAGATAGTAAGAACTGCTGATGCTGGAGTCAGAGATAACACAGTGTGGAGCTGGAGGAACACAGCAGGCTAGGCAGCATCAGAGAAGCAGGAAAGCTTACGTTTCGGGTCAGGACCAAGAAGGATACCAACCCAAAACGTCAGCTTTCCTGCTCCTCTGATGCTGCCTGGCCTGCTGTGTTCCTATTAGTAAGTAACTGTTTTGTGGCATAAGCCTGGAGCCTAACAGAATCAATTCAGGAAATATCACAGGTAACATAAGAGTGTTACTCTGCATATAAGAGTAGTTTAATATTCCACCATGGTAAGCTCATTAAACCTGCTTAGGGCAACCCTTTGAATTTAGAAAGTAATCAAAAAGCATAAGTACAGCATTGTGCAATTTGACTAAGGCTTTATAACTGAGCTTCTAAAACAAAAGGTACTGAGTGTTTTTTAGATTATTGCCAAAATTATGTTACTTTGGTAATATTTGCTTGACCTTGTCATCCTTCGTTCTTGTTTTTGATTTGGGTGAAAATGACCAAGCCAAGTGGGTTTTACTGACTTTGTTGTCTTAGAACCAAGTCAGATCATCTATTTAACTGAAAATAGTATTTGCCAACTGGCTGCTTTGCATAGAGATAAGAATCTTGTAATGGTGTGCAATTACCTGAGTTTAACTTGCACTCAGTGACAACAAAGTTTTCTCATATGCCTGATGCACACATGGAGGTCCACTGGCTGACAATTAATTTTTAATGTTAGGAAAGAGTGGATTGAAGCATTCACTTTCTTTTGGAATTAAAACTACTCCATTAAAAATGTTAAAAGGAAACTAAGTGGTGCATTGAGCTTAGAAGTTCAGAAGCCTTTTACTTCTGAAAGTTTGGTTGAAGTTATGCTTCTGGCTGTGTTGTCTATACGTTGAGTTCAGAAGAACGAGAGGTGATCTCATTGAAACATATAGAATTCTTAAGTGGCTTGACATGGTAAATGCTGAGAGGATGCTTCCCATCATGGGAGAGTCTAGGACCAGAGGGCATAAAGGATAAAGCAGCACCAATTTAAGACTGAGATGAGGGGGAATTCTTTTCTCAGAGAGTTGTGAGTCTTTGGAACTCCTTGCAAAGAGTCCTTATCTATAATGGCTCAGACAGATTTATCAGTAGGGGAATCTAGGGGTATGGGGAAAGTGGACGTGAGGAATGTCAAATCAGCCATGATTCTATTGAATGGTGGAACAGGCTTGAGGGGCCAAATGGCTTACTCCTGTTCCTATTTCTTATGGTCTTATAACACTTCTGTGATTTTTTTTAAGTGCAGCGCACTCCTTGTAAACTTGGGGTGCCAGAAAACTCAAAACACATAAAATATGGTCTCGCACAACAGGATCCACTTTAAGCTACCTTAAATTGAGACTGCATTTTGATTTTTGTTTTACACAATCTCCAAAGAGATTCACAGCCAATGAAGGGATAATCACTATAGTCAGGAAAATGGTAGTTAATTCATCCCACAAATATCAATAAAATTAATTACTGGATTATCTGTATTAGGAGCTGATTGAGGGATAAATGGTGACATTGGGACAATTCCCTTGTTCTGCTTTGAATGGTGCTATGGAATATTAAAATCCACCTGAGAGTTGAGTTGGGACCTTGGGGAGTTTTGTCTCAAATGAAGGATACCTCTTCTGACAATTCACCACATTCTTATCACTGCCTGAACGTGTCAGCATTGATTCTGTCAGAGTGACTTAGTCATAACACCCTTACGTCTGAATTTCCAGGTTCAAGTCCCACTACAGGGCTTAAGCACATAAATAAGACTGACACTCAAGTGTCTACTGAGGGAACACTGCATTGGCAGAGGTGCTGTCTTTTGACTTGAAATATTTTAAACTGAGGCTCTACCTGCCTGCTTAGGTGAATGTAGAAGATCCAATTGCTCTACTTTGAAGACCAGCAGAATGTTCTTCCTATTATGTATACCTCAACATTATGAAAAAAAAAGTTACATTGCTGTTTGTGGTGGTTTTCTGTATGCAAATTGACTGGTGTATCCTGCATCATAATAGTGAATAGTAATATAATTCAAAGAGGAATTAATTGACTAGAACACTTTTGAGATGTTATGCACTCATTAGAAAAGCAATATAAATTCAGATCTTTCTTTCTTGAAGTCTCTGGCATTTGGCAATGACCACTGTACGAAGGCAAACAGTTTATTTGTTGGGGTTTCTGAAGAAGGGTCTAGGCCCAAAATGTCAGCCTTCCTGCTCCTGTGATGCTGCTTGGCCTGCTGTGTTCATCCAGCTCTACACCTTGTTATCTCAGTTTATTTGTTGACTGGAATGTGTGGTCACTGTTGATACCCAGACACTCCTGATGACATGGCTTTTGCACTGTCTTGGCCCATGGATTCTAGTAATTAAAGTTACAACTAAACCAGTTTCATGAAGAATAACCCTTCCCACATTCTGTCACTCTACTTCTGTACTGAAGGTGCTAAAAAATGGATTCAATTGCACACATATCCTCCTCCTCCCAGTCATACAAGCTTCTAACTTGAAAACAAATCAACATTCCTTCATTGTCACTAGGTCAACGAACACAGACGGCGGTGGTTTATCACCGTAAAGGGGTCTCTGCAAACGTGAAAATGTGAAAGGATCAAGAACCACAGGATGCCAATTTAAGGCAACATTTATTTTACACAACCGAATGGTTAAGATCTGGATGCATTACTCAAGGGGGGGATAGATTCAGTCTTCAACAGATAATTAACTACTTGAAAACATTTGCAGGGCTGTAAGGGGGAAGCTTAACGAGGGGCTGTTACTGACAGCCGGTATACTTGAACGCGCAAAATGGCTACCTGAAGCTTGTGGACACATCAGGGACTATTGTAAAAATAGAACAACTCGGGTAACTTTTATCTACCAAACAGCATAATTAGACAGAGATGATCATTCTGCAATTAGCTAAAGCCTGTAAACACATTGTGGTTAGCCCAGTAGAACCCAATAATAAAACTACAGTGCAGGCATCTTTGAAGGCGTATTAATAGTGAGTGCTCGCTTTACAGGCTGTGCGAAGTAGCCATCTTTTGTAAGGAAGCGGGAAAGATACATTGAATATCTGATGCTGATCCAGGCACAAAGCTGTCTGTCAGTTCAGTGATAGTAGGAACTGCAGATGCTGGAGAATCCGAGACAACAAGGTGCAGGGCTGGATGAACACAGCAGGCCAAGCAGCATCATAGGAGCAGAGAGGCTGACGTTTCGGGCCTAGACCCTTCATCAGTTCAGTGCAGGCTTCGCTCTCCCTGCTATTGGAGAGGCAGCAGGTATATGGGATTTCTGGTCAATTCCTTAAAAAATCTTTGGTCGCGGAGGGAGAGTAAGCCAGCAATTTCTTCGGAAATATCTTCTGGAAGTGGGAAATAGGAGTCAGCGAGGTTCCGGATCGATGTTTCCCTGCATCCGAAAAAGAAGTGTCCCAAACGGTGCCGAATAATCTTTCTTTGGGCTTATTGGCTGCTAAAAACATTCCGTCGTGTTTTCGATGCAGAGAAACTGGAATCTTTGGAGACAAGCAGCTTGTAAGCTTTCAGGAAGACGAGGTACATCTAATGACTGTATTTGATAACCGGTTCACGCTGCTGTACAGTTGATTGCACAGATACAATCTCAAAGCCATTATCATAAAATTTAGTCATGATGTGGAGGTGCGGTGTTGGACTGGGGTAGACAAAGTCAGGAATCATACACCAGGTTATAGTCCAACAGGTTTATTTGAAAATACAAACTTTCGGAGCCTCAGTCCTTCTTCAGGCATTAGCGAGAGAAATGGTATCAGACAAAATTTAGTTAATCGTGGAATTATGGTAAAATGCTATTGCAGAGACTAGTTGAGTCCAAAGCTGAATCTCCTTTCGATGGAGGGCTCTCCCTCTGCTGGACAATTAGGAGTATTACAAGATACAATGTTGTCCCCAAACCCGGAGCACCGTACTTCAAACATTAGAGAAAAGCTTATTGATTTCTTTTTGCGACAGATACAAGATACTTCCATATCACAAGGCTTGTAGTGTTGGTAACTTACCAATTGATAAGGGAAAAAAAAAATCAAATAATAAACATTCTCAGGTGAAAATAGGCAGAACAAAGGGGCATAAAATATTAACTAAGAGGGAAAGGAGGAATTATTTTTGAGGATCGTATGTCTTTTAAACTCTTTTCCAAAGAAGGCAGAAAAGGCATGATAACTGAATATTTTTAAGCAGAGGCATGTGGTTAGGATAGTCAAAGGATATTAAGAACTGATAGGAAAACAGTTAAAGCCATAATTAGAATAGAAATGAACCTGTTAAGTGGAGCAGACTCGAACTGAATAGCTGACTCCTGATTTGTTTGCTCAGCTAGACCTGGTATGTATTTTGTTTTTCTGACTTCCAGCATCCATGGTATCTTGTTTTTGCAAAATGTAAACAGTTAATTAATACTTTTTACAAAAGTTATGTAAACGTTTTATTAAAGATACTTCTTGTGATATCAATAAACTGCAATACATTCTTTCACAAAGAAATTGTTATGGGGGCAAAAAAAAATGCCCAGCTTATCTTTGGAGCATTTGTTTTGTCTGTAGTACGCACCAGACAATACCAAGTTTAACTTAGGAACAAAAACAGAAGTTGCTGGAAAAGCTCAGCAGGTCTGGCAAATCAGTTTTCTAGGACTGGTGACCCTTCCTCAGGTCTGAACCGTTAACACAGATTTTTCTTCACAGGTGCTGCCAGACCTGCTGAGCTTTTCTAGCAACTCGTTTTTGTTCCTGATTTACAGCATCCATGGTTCTTTCAGTTTTTAGTCTGTGGTTAACTTATTTTGGGCAATTCACAAATTAAAACTCCTTCAACTCCAGATATATTTTACTAAAAACATTGAAAAGTTAATTTACTCACACAGAGCTACCTGAATAAATGCACAAGCTTTTGTACAAAGGTTGAAACAAAACTCTGCCTGTCTGAATTGGCATACCTGCTTGTCATCAGCTCTTATCCATCCGCCACCCTGTGCTTCTTGGCCTACACGAAGTCTCATGTAGAACACAAGAGCAGGAGTACACCATTTAGCTCAGAGTCTGCTCCACTGTTTAATAAAATCACAGCTTATCTGGTAGCAGTCTCAGCTTCACTTTGTTGGTATTCCATAACCCTAAACTCCCTTGTCTGTTAAAAATCCAAATTTAATCAAAGTCTGAGATCGATTAAAAATCGTACCTCTTTTGCAAAATTCCAGAGTCCAACAACCCTAGAAACAATTTATTTTAATCTGTCCTAAAAAGGGACACCTTTGAGAACTGAAGAAGGGCTTTGAAGGGTTACTGGACAATGTTAACCTTGCTTTCTGTCCAAGGGTGCTACCCAGCCTGAGTTTCTCCACGAATTTCAGTTTTTGTTTCAGATCTTTAGCATACAGTTTTGTTTTATTTCCCTAGTTTTAGTCTTCATTACGAGAGGAAACATCCTGTTAACTGCCTTATCCAGCAGTGAGATCATCTCATTCTTCCAAATTACATTGGATACAGCTCTAACTTGTTTAACCTTTCTTTATGATATAATCCCTTCTCCCAGGAAGGAGTTGGATAACTCTTAAGCAACACCTGGATTTTAAAATTCAACCTGGCTGTTCTCCCATTCCCCCAATACTCCAAGATTTTTGTTATTCCAATTCCAGCCTCTTGAGCATCCCTAATTTTAACTGTTCTATCAATGCCTGCCATATCTTGAGCTGCCAAGATCCAGCCCCATGGCCTGGTCTCACTTCCTTCTTTTAATCCGTTCCTAAAACCTACCTCAGACCAAGTTTTTGACTAAATACCCCAATATCTTGTAGTCTGGTGTTGCTGGGATTTTTAAAAAAAAAAAAAAAAAAAAATCTATTCAGGCATGTCATGAAACGCCTCTAAAGCAGGTAGGACTTGAACTGGGCCTTCTAGCTCAGAGGCAAACAGTTGGTTCTATAATGCCTTTGAAGCACCAAAACAATTACTTTGCAAAAAGGTGTTATAAAAAGATGCTGCTTCACTTTAACGTTTAGCACATGATCTGAAAGTGCAGTTCTCTCAAATGACATATAGACAGAAAACCAACAAAAGATGAACACGTATAAAAACCTTTTACTCCTCTGGTTGGACTAGAAAAATAACTTGCCTAGATTAGTTAACCCTCAAAATGGACATTGCAAAATAAATCCTAATATTAACACAGGAAATAGGACAAGAAAATGAATTGGCTTTCTCTGAAGCAAGATTATGGTCAAACAATAAAGATCAAGTTCAAATGTTTTCAAATTAGGATCCCTGAATCTTACAGATCCAAAGTGTTTAGGTTATTAATAAGTCAATAAAACATACTAGAAATAACAGTAAAGACATTCCTCAGTGTTATTAAGACTTTGCTATCAGGAGATAAGCTTGAGTGTGGAAGTGTACAGTCAGGACCATACATCCATCAATCAATAAATATTTGAAGGGACTCTCCAGTCCTTGCAGCTTCCTCCCAAACCAGTGTGGTGGTTGGAAATCACATCTTACACTTAATTTCCAGAAATATCTTGCTACAAAAGTTAAATTAAAATTAAGTGTACAGTGACATGTGAGAACACAACAAGCAGAAGCATTTTCCATAAAATGTTTATTTGGGGCAGTATCACAAGATATCATGCAACAGCTTAGTGTGTAAAAAAACCAAGATAAACCTCCCAATGTTTTCAAAGAGAAGAGTGGTAGCCAAGACCAACAATTCTAAAAGTGATTTGTTCAACAAAATCCCAAAGATAAAACTCAAAATGTCATGGTCCCTTGAATATCTAATGTTAAAAGGTCCAAATCACTTTTCAGTCAGTAATATGCACATCTAGTAAGGTTTCTGTAATCTTTATTCTTCATGTTCTATGTTCACAAGAACATATGCCAAAGGACAGAATACATGCATTCCATCTGAAGGTGGTTTAAACCACTGATTGAATAAAGGAAACCTTGTCAGCCAGACAACAAGGCATATTTCATTACATCAGCCTCAAGAAATTCTAGTGTTTATGGGGGTTGGGGGGGTGGAGTGGAAAGAATGAACTGTTCAAAAAATTTGGCAAATTCAAATAAATACAGCAAGTGGTTGAAAAATCAGAGACCAGTTTTGTACATCAGATGCCATGTTTTAAGCAATTAAACTGATCAGTAATTTTCAAATTTTATTTAAACAATTTGCACTTAATCCTTGTAAACAGCTAAAGGGAAACACATTCAGTATTTCCAATTTATGCTCCAAACTTTATTTTAAACCACTGCAAGTAATTCATCCTTTCAGTATATATTCCTTTTGTAGAAAATATATTTTTACACTGTAATAAAAAAGGCAAGATGCATAAAACAGAAAACTGATGTTTGTGGTCCATCAGACTACAGAACAGCTGTTGACATTTAAATGCAATTCTTAAGTGTGTCCCCTTGCTCTCTGTCTCAGGCATCTTACATTCTTGGTAAGTTTTCTGCTTCCTCTGCCTGGATGCAACCAACGACAGAAATTTAGATGATCTTTGGCACTTAAGCTGGTAAACTCAGTTTCTTTCCTTTGAGAACTAAAGAAATAAAGATGGAGAGATATGTTAGAAAGCAATAACATTTCTTTTGTAGATACATTTGTTTTAAAAAAAAAAAGTGATGATGTTATGGCTTCAAGAGATGAATTTTGCCTCTTTTTAAAGAAAAGATGAAAAGTTGAGACAGAGGTTAGGAGCAGTCTGCACAAAGCCAATAAAGTAAACAGCTTCAGGGGCCTTGGAGTTTTATTTTTACAAAGGTTGGAACAATAGACACAGTCTGAATGGTGGGGTCAAGCTCCTTCAGAACCAGAACTTTTAGTTTTAGCTTTCCGCAGTTGCTAGGGTTTTGAAACTGGACGTGGAAACTCTTATTCCTCTGTTACGGCTAAAAGCTGGGGTTCTCTTCCTGCTACTACAATTGCATGAGAGACAAGCAATTTTACTGAATTTGCCTTTGCCAAATGCGTGTTTATGGGATGTTACTATATTGGAATAATTAGTTAATTGTTAATATATTATTTTGTTCAGCATTTTTATAGAGTTAAAGTTAAGCCAATTCTTATTCTTATTTTGTCTGTATTTTAACTGTAGCATGAAAATAAAGTATGTTTTGCTTAAAGTCAACTAGTTGGACTAAATTGCATCTGGAACACAGCCTTCAAAATAATAAAATATTAGGCTATCTTCTTAACGTTCTTTGAGGGGGTTTATCTGGTCCATGACAAAACCTTGCACTCATAACCCTCGTGCCAAATTGCTTCACCTTCAAATACTTCAATGTGAAATAACTTTTATTCATTCATGACACATGGGTTTTATTAGCAACATCAGAATTTATTGCCCCTCTGAAGGGGGTAGTGTGCCATTTTGTGAATAGGAGCAAGTGGCTCACTAGCAGGGCCAGTGCAAGAATATTAGGTGCTCTAGACAAACCTTTAGATTTATTTTACATGAAGAAAGATGATATTCATCGTACATTCTCATTATTTTTCACAGAATATTTACTCAAAGAAATGCAGTTTTGTCTCCGGCTCACCAGATACAATGCTACCCATTCCTGACACGATTATTAGATGTTCTTTGCAATTTACACAACTTAATCATTGCAATAGTGAAATAAATTAAGATCGCTGATATTATCTACTGGCTTGCAACTTGGAAATAGTTGATGGTTATACAAGTTTGTAAAATTTGGGTAAATATAATGAAGCAAAGACAATTTGGGAAAGACTATGGTAAATACATAGAAATTCATAACATACATCTGTGTGTGTGTGTATACCAGTAGATCTAGATCTTTCATTCCTATGTTGCAGCTAGTTTACTCATGTAGTTTAACAAATTAACTTGTTCCCCCACATTAGTGACTGCCAAGTAGTTACATCAGCCCTGTAAATGACCCAATGAGCAAGGGCAGTTAAGAGCCAGTCATGTTGCTGTAAGCCTGGAATCATAATTCACACTCAGCATGTATGTTAGATTTTCTTCCTCAAGGACATTAGTGAAGTAGATGCAGTTTTAGGACAATCTGAGTTACTAACACTAGCCTTTTTGCACATTTTAATCAACTGCATTTCAATTCCCCAGCTACTGTAGAAGGAAATTAACTTGTTTTTGAATTACATAATTTAGCAGTGATAGCAGTACGTTATGTATCCCACAAGCAAATGCAACTAAAAAAGTGTATTCTAAATCACACTGACAACTAGGTTATTGCATTTTGGTGATGGTGTTGGCCAAGTGAAGATCAGTGGCCAGGGCAGAACAGAACTCACTGTTTTGAATAATGCTTTCTATTACCCAATGTCATCTTGAACAATCAACTAAATAAGTCGTTGGTTGTGTCATTTGAAAGATCCCACCTCTGATGAGGCAAGACTTCCTCTTTGTTGCATGGGAATGTCAGCCCAGGTCAACTGCTCAAGTCCTGTGGTCAGACTTGAATCAGCTGATTACCTTTGGGCTTAACATTTTGCATTTCCACCCAGTCAAATTCATGTTCCTGTTACAACATGCAATACTAACAGAACTTAAAACCATAGACCAAATACTCTAGGGATAACAAAAAGTATATACTTGCTAAGAGATTTGTTTCTCACATTACTATCCTAAATATTCAATTGGCCTGTGATCTGGTTAATATGGTTCTGCAAGTGTTAATGAAGCTTTCATGTATCAAATTTGTGCACAACTTACCTGACAGTTTTCCTCCCCCCAAATGTATGATTTGGACAATGCTCATTTATTATAATCTTTGATGGGTCAAGACTACATTTCACAGATATGTGAATTATTAAGCGGAGCTAACTAGCAGCTAGATAGCTTGGGGACAGATTGGATACAAAATTGTACACTTTGTTACACTTTTTCCACCACACTCAATACAAGTACATAACTCGGTTCCCAAACAGTATATTTCATAAAACATTGAGAATGGAAAAACACAAATGTTTGATCCCTCACCTTTTGTGACGTACAAATAGAAAAAGTCGCAGTACAGAATAGTCTGAACCAAGCCAGCCACAATAGCAATGAGGTCAAAAAACCCCTCAAAATAATAACGCCAGATCCAGTTGATAAGGTACAGGGCACGATACAAGCCAAGAAAGAAGAGGTAATGAGTCGTGATGGTCTCTGCTTCACCCGTCTTGCTGATCATGAAGAGCTGGGGGAGAATTGCAACCGACTCCAGGTAAATCGAGAATGTCCACAGGATCTAGAAAAAAAAAGTTTTTTTTTTTAAAAAACTTTGTTTGTATGGGGACAGGCGGCATGGAGATGCAGGGTGAAACTGTAGCTTAAATAAAGTCATAGATTTTTGTCATCCAACAGCATTGACTTTTGCAATCCCATGTTACAGCTCACCAAAACTCCTTCTATAACACCTTCCAAATCTATGATCTTTACTACCTAGAACTAGAGCAGTAGATGCCTGGAACCCCCCTATCCTTCAGTTCCCCTCCAAGTGAGGAGCCAATACACCTTTAAAATAACTGCAACCCTTTCACTGTTGCCAGTACAATATCCTGGCACCCCCTCCCTGATAGCACTGTGGGTACATCAACACAAAGGTTCAAGAACATAGCTCACCACCACTTTTCAATGTCAAATAGGGATTATTAACACTAGTGCTGCTAGCAATCCCATGAGAGAACAACATTCTGATATTAAAAACAAAGACAACACTAAGTTTATTTAAATTCTGTTGCCACTGTTCTATCCTGCAATGGACAAATTCCAGAAAATTCTGCAATACCCCTCTTCCCATCGAAACCAGTCGCCATGTGAATCATTATTACAGTCTCACTATCTCAACTCTAGCTCACCACTGGAGAGCAAATGAATAGCAGCTGAACACAAATTTAAGTATTAAAATGTATTAAAACTAGATGGCAGCAGATATCTCAAAATCAAATCTTTGAGCCGACAATAAAAAATAGACTTTAAAGGCCAAATTGGGTCCTTCAGGCTGGTGTTGCTGCAACGTTGGTATTAATTACATATCCCTTGTTACCCATAAAGTGATAAGTGGTTTTGTTTTTGGCACTTGAATGGTTTGCTAGGTCAGTTCACAGGGCATTCAATAATGTTGGTTTGAGACTGAAGCCTCATACAAGACTGGGAAAGCTCAGTTAGATTCCTTGCTAAAAGTGTCCTGCAGTCCCTTCGTTCTAGAAATCTGTACCATATTTCACTTGCTGATCAAACATTAGGCCCGATCAACAGATTTAAATCACACTCAGGCCAGCTATTAAGTCATTATTCAAGAAAGGAGGAATTTTAAAGCAATGTTAGTTTTTCTACACCACACTACAGGCTGCGATCATAGTGGGAGATGCAACACAGAGTCAGAGTCAGAGGTTATTGAGGACAATAATTGAAAACCATTTCCTTATGCTGCTGTTACACATTTGAGCCCAGCACAAAAATGCTCTGGCAGAATCTCCAATCTATGTCCTTACCTGGGACAGATAGATGGCGACAACTGGAAAAGTAAACAAAACTCCAAACAGCTTGTACTTAAACTTGGGTGAAAGACAGAAGTTAATACTTTGGAAACAGCTTGAAATCACCAAATACAATTTAGAAAATGATTTACCTCCATTGGAGAGAAGTCATGATTGACAAGGAATGACAATCCGCCCACAGGAACAACCAGAAATTCCGCACGGAACGTATCATGGTTTCCATCATAGGTGGCCTTAAACTTGAAGTAGATCAAGTACACTGTGGCAATTGAGCAAGAAATGTAGATAACCTTTATTTTGAAAAATGAGAAATAAGGGGCAATTATCAACAGTAACACAAAAATCTTGGTCCAAGCAAACCTCAATGATTGTGAAAGTTTCTTTAAGCACACGGAAGCTTATGGAGACTGGCTATGTTTTCCCCCTTTGGAAAGGCCATGCTGACATACAACCAGATTCAATACAATTGTGTCTGCAGCAATATCACAGTTCATTTAACACAGGATTTCAATACACTTCTGTTAAATGTTTATCAATCAGGTCACTGATTTCCAAGCTTGTGTCATGCAGAATCACCAAGCTAAAAACTATGGAATCTTTGAAGAATACAGGAAACATACAAAGGTTAAAACCATGATCTAACAGAAACTTTAAGTACAGCCAGTCTAGAAACAAAACAAAAGCAACATTCAAAACAGCAAGCACAAAATTTGAAAAGGAAATAATGGCTTATAACAAGCACAGAGAGAGAAGTTATGTGCGGTGAGTTTGAATATGCAAGTTAAGACGTGGACAGTATATAAAACAAACTTTGGGATGGTGAGGACAGACAAAGATATATGTTAACCCACAGCAAAAGTTCCAATGCACAACACTGCGAAGAAGTAATCCTAAACATCTTGCACTTGGAAATGTGTTCAAAATAGTATTCACTCCACTGCCTGAGACTTACCTTCATGGAACTGTTGTAGAGAGAAATGAAAATAGTGAACAAATCCAGGTATCGAGTGAGAAAGACCAATGCAAACAGAATCTGACTCTTCCCAGAGATACCTGGAGGACGAACAAAAACCAATGCAAAAATGCAATAAAAGTTTCAAATAAGAATTCTTATTTTTAACCTGAAACAAATTAAATGAATGCATGCATAAATTAAATACAAAGGATTGTTTTAGAATCTCAAATTTGCATAAATGGGGATTCTAACTATGAGTTTGATTGTTAGTATTATACTTTCTATTAAGACAATTAGATTGCATAAAGCATTCCAAATGCCCCAAGGGTGGCACATTATTTTAGCTCAACACCAATATTTTCATACATTAAAACATCTGATTTGCTTTGCTCACTGCTATCAAGCTTTGTTGCGATTACTTCTTTTGAACCAAAATCCTCTTCATTTTCCACTCGCATTTATGCAATAGCACCTTACTGGAATTTTTGCCTGGGAAAATCAACTTTCCAAAACTGAATTTAATCTGCCATATGTATGGCAACATTCCTGACCCCTTTTGGGATAAAAAGGCATATGACTGGGCAGGGATGGGGGTTCTCCAGAAGGAGAAAGTCTCCCCAGATATATTCTATTTTTAAATTGATCATAGGGTTATCCAATGTTAAAATGTCAAAGGTGCACTTTCAAATAAAGCTGCCGTTTTGTGCTAAGTAGGTTGAAAATGCTACTCAGCCAAGTTCCTTAGCCATACTTCACCAGGGAGATGGTGGTTTCTTTACATCCATCTACAGAAAGATATTTGACTGCCTGGGAATAGGCCATTTGCATACAAAAATCAATCAACCTACTGTATGCATATGGAATTGATTTAACTTGGATTGCATTAAGCCACAGGCAGAGATTAAAGGCTTTGGCAAACCTTGGAAACAAAAATGAACCATTCTCAGTTCCTTGAAAGTGGAGTCACAGGTCAATAGGATAGTGAAGGCGGTGTTAGATATGCTTGCATTTATTGGTCACTGCATCGAGTATGGTTGGTGGGAGGTCATGTTGTGGCTGTACAGGACATTGGTTAGGCCACTGTTGAAATACTGCATGCAATTCTGGTCTCCCTGCTACAGGTTCAGAAAAGATCTACAAGGATGCTGCCAGGGTTGGAGGGTTTGAGCTATAGGGAGAGGCTGAATAAACTGGGGCTATGTTTCCCGGAGCAATGAAGGCTAAGGAGTAACTTTATAAAGGTCTATAAAATCATGAGGGGCATGGATAGGGTAAATAGACAAGGTCTTTTCCCTAGAGTGAGGAAGGCCAAAGCTAGAGGGCACAGGTTTGAGGTGAGAGGTGAAAGATTTAAATGGGACCCAAGGGTCAACATTTTCATGCAGAGGATGGTGCATGTGTGGAATAAGCTGCCAGAGTTAAGTGGAGGAGGCTGGTACAATTACATTTAAAAGGCATCTGGATGGGTAGATGAATAGGAAAGGTTTAGAAAGATATGGGCCAAAAGGTCCGTTTCTACACTGTACATCTCTATAACTGAGATTGCAATTCAAAGTACAAGAGATTTAGAGATAGGGATATTTAAAGGTATGAAACTTAACCAATATTAACATACTGTGGTTCAGTTCAAGAAAAGCAAGGTATTTGCCCAGGTTAGCCAAAGTCAAAAGCTAATGAGAATCAGGAGCATTTTCTCACCGGTCTAATCATGTGTTCAGAATAATTTCCAAGTTTGACTCTGATTAAATACTTCTCTTCAATATTTAATTTGTCTACTTACACCAACGGAGAGAATATTTTTTACATGGCTTCGGATTTGATTTAATTTCACAATGGCCTACATAAATTAAGCTGTGAAACTGTAATCGTTAGCTGGCTATGCCAGTACCAAGATGCAATCAGGTACTGCTACCAAAATTTTAAATGATGCCATTCTGAAGGAGGGTCACTGGACGCGGAACGTTAATTCTGATTTCTCTTCGCAAATTCTGCCCGACCTGCTGAAATTTTCCAGCAATTTCTGTTTTTGTGTTTAACATCTGCATTGATTAGAACCCATAGGACTTACTATGTCTGTTTACTGTAACTGAACTTCCAAATTTAGTTGATGGAAGCAAATAGACTTCAAGTTGAATGGAATGTAGCACCACAAACTGGAATATTAATCCTCTTGGAGGTGAGAAGGGATAAAGATGTACACATACTCAGGCCTCACTGTAGCAGCAGCATAAACTCTTAATTGCTTCACCGAGCATCTCAAAATAATTAATGATTTAGCTGTTATCTGGTTATGGCCAAAGGGTTAATAAAACTGCTTTCCTAATTGTCATAGTACAAGAAACTGCTTTTGACCAACACAATTATACTGGAGTGAGCTGCATTGCACATTCACTTCAAAACTTAACATGCCCGTCAGTGTCAACAGCACAGATTAAACTTAGCTTGTTTTTATTTCCAGAAGCTGCATTTAAAAAACAAACTGTATTCTGAACTTCAAATACCCTCAACCCCATTCAATCACAGCTCCAGATGATATGGACATTGATACAGGTAAAGTGTTCAACATGCAAATCCACTGCCCCCTTTGACTTCCTCACATTCCCCTCTCCCAAAGATACTAACATCTGGCTAACAAGATGTATGGAGAATAAATGCCGGTCCTGTCAGCAATGTTCATCCCTATAATGAAATGATTCCAGACATCAGCTGGTTTTAGATACCTTGCTTTGTGAAGGGATTTCATGCACAATTGCAAGAAAGAGACATAGCTGAACAGTGGGATCAAAGCAAATTTCAATTTGTCCTCAACAGACATTCAAATGCATAATCTGAACAGCAGATCTCTGAACTCTGCCCAAAATGAAGAGAATACAGTGCAATTCAGCTCAATGGTAAAAGCATCACTTCCACAGAGGCTGGATATTTAAACAAATCCATTCTAGACTGGGTAATGTTTTCCTGTTAAATAAAAAAAAGTGTTCTCTTCTTACAACCCAAATTGTGCCACTGGCTATCACCTGAGAAAACAGTTTTAACAGGAGTTAACATTAAGAGGTAGTACACGTTTTGGAAACTGGTGTGCTGTCCCATTTGTCTGTACAGTATAGCACTTGCCTTTGTAATGGTGGCCTGTCTGGCCCTTACATACCACAGGAAGACCACTGCAAGAAAAATGTATTATCCTGGATTAGCAGATTAAATGTGCACTTCCATTTTTTCCTGTGGACTTCATCCAAGCACCTTGTATCACCTTTAATAGGTGCTCCAACACAAACCTTTTATCAAACTCTCACTCCACTCAGCGGAATTGTGATGTTAATTTGTAGACTGCTAAGAAAATCAAGCAGAATTCAAGAGGATTTCAGTCTCTATGCTAAAGAGCATTTAGGTCTGCTATTGATCTTGCCAAATATTGATGATTAAAACGAGGCACACCAGGAAATCTAAATATATCCCAAGACATTGAAATACATAGCTCATTAAACGCGGTTAAGTTTCACAACTGAAATCAGCTCTATGCAGAGATGGCCCAATTTGGAAGGACACTGGATGCTTTTTTGATTGAGACAAAAACACCTAAAGTCCCACACATGCATTAATGACAGCACAATCTGTTTTAAATAATAAAAGCATTTAAGCAATGTATGCTTAAAAAATAATTCAAAACTTTACTTGAGGACAGACAATTAAATGCACAGCCTATTTGAAAAAAGTCAGCATGAGATCACCTGTTACCTATCAATCAATTACGCAGCGAGCATATACACTTGCTTCCAGATGGGTTTAAACATTTAGAAGAACTATACTTTGCAATACTTGCTCCCAAAATGATGTATTCTGCATCTTTCTTTTCAACTGCAAATTCACTCTTTAGCATCCGAATAAGCAAACACCAGATGTTGCTAGAAACCTGTCTGATTGAAAAGCAACAGCAATGAAGCAAAACTGTCATTTCATAAAAGCATACAACTATCATGGGCCCTGTTATAAACCTTTCTGCAGTGTAAATTTAATCAAACCCTAGACAGATCTGATTTTAAAGGAGAGGGACAAAGTAATGAAAACATTTACTTTGGGAGTCACACCTGGGACCTCCTGGTCATATATTCCTGTAAATGCTGGGCCAGACGAGCTTTCTGGCTGTATTTCAGTGTTTAATCTTCAATGCATGTAGGAGGATAGATACTTATTTGGCTAGCTTCCAGAGCTGGAGCAGACATCTCAATTCCTTTGGTACATAATGGCATTAAAATAACCAATCCCAGACATGGAAAGGAAACCAGCCCTAACAAAAATTGCGTTTTACAATTTGCGACTTTTCCCATGATTTACAATACAGCTGCATTACGTTCAACAGTTGGAAGCCACTGAATTGAAAAAAAAACACGTGATGGTAACTGGATTTTAAAACTGGCAGTGTAGGGTTAATGCTAAATATATTGAGAATATTGATTTACGATAGTAGAGAAAGCAGAAGCTGCAAAATAGCCTGGATTAACATTCAGCAACATATGCCCGAAATTTAAACAAAAATTGGAACCCAAATTAGTAGCAAGGATTCTTTCTCTCCACTGTACTTCTGCTCCTCAAATCAATTTCAAATCCTTCTCATAACAAGGGCATGTGTCGCCCTGATTTGATGGTATGTCAGGCACCAAATGCAAATAAATGTTTTGTATCTTCGCACAATTATATCATTAATTGTCCACACAAGAAGCAGCCCCAGAAGCTGGCAGTTCTTTTTGAGATAACAAGGTGTAGAGCTGGATGAACACAGCAGGCCAAGCAGCAGAGGAGCAGGAAGACTGATGTTTCGGGCCTAGACCCTTCTTCAGAAATGGGGGAAGGGAAGGGGGTTCTGAAATAAATAGGGAGAGAGGGGGAGGCAGATAGAAGATGGATAGAAGAGAAGTTAGGTGGAGAGGAGACAGACAAGTCAAAGAGGCGAGGATGGAGCCAGTGAAGGTGAGTGCAGGTGGGGTGATAGGGAGGAAGGGAGGACGGACAGGTCAAGGGGGCAGGATGAGGTTAGTAGGTAGGAGATGGGGGTGGGGCTTGAGGTGGGAGGAGGGGACGAGCTGGGCTGGTTTTGGGATGCGATAGGGGGAGGGGAGATTTTGAAGCT